GAGCAACTTGCCGGATCACGACCTATATGAGAACCTGTCTTCCTGTACTTTCTAGGTCTCTCCATCACGGACCAGACCGGACAGTATTTGTCCACGTCCCAAATGTTTCCAGTGATCTGGAGGTTGACAACCTCGGCGAAGCTCTCCTGCTCCTCATCATCTTCCTGTCCAAGCTGATGAAGCTCAAGACTTGTGCAGCGCTTTCAAATTTCTTCGACCATAAATTCCAACCATCCTCCTCTGTGGTTGACTCAACGAACTAGACCACAACGTCAGCGCACATCCCTCGTTCCTTTCAGTATTTTAACTTTTAGCGCAATGATAGACGCTACTCCCAGTCTATTTGGACTTAAGTATCTTTGAAGTATTCAGACAATTGTCTTTCTATATACTTTACTGCTCACAGCCACTGTTACGGTCATGCGTGGTGTGCACCTCTGATTGGTCAGAGAGCAGCCAACTTTCGTGTCCAAGTGTCTTCGGCGATTCATAAGGTACCTGATCAGGGCCAAAAAGTAAGAAAAGGTTACCACGTCCAGCTAGAAAATGATTGGGCATGCCCAAGATAGGCGAAGTCTTAAAACTCGGCTTATCAATATGTGAACTAGGGAATCTTCCCGTGTCCCGCATACCTGGATAAAAAGAACAAGAAGGCGGAAGCAGTTGCCTTCGCAGCGTGAGGTTAGTAGGTGTCTTACGTTTGGGGGCGTCTTTACTGTGTCCCTCGGTGAACGCGACGAACTGACTAAGTGGTCTACCCCTTCCAAAGACGAAAGGCTGGCGAAAAATTGTGAGACCGAAGGGTTGCACGGCCTCGGCCATCGATTTATATGTGGTAGACACTGTCCGTTTCCTTGATCTTTGACACTCACCGACGAAAAATATTTTCGATAGTATACTGGATCTCGATAAAGAGAAACAGTGGCAATTGTTTACTTTCTGAAGGCCAATCAGCTCTCCGACCGGTCATGAGAGTAACAACAGCGTGGCTCGTAGTTACAAGGATGGGTTGCAAAATATGTGATTTATTAGAAAAGGAAGCGAAGGGGACCTATTCAACCAAAATCAGCTCGTCCAGGTTCCAGTCTTCAAAACTGCCATCGGGCAAGTAACGACGAATGATTATCGGAATCTTGTTTGCGCGCAGTTCCTTTTCCGCAATCTTTAATGGGTCCCGCTCACCACTGAGTTCCACCATTACCGGAGCTGACATGGAGAGTTGAAGGGCTCTAGCGCCCAAAACCCGAGCGCGCTCATACTTGGTTAAGTAGGGTGTTGTAATGCGTTTGCTCTTCTCGACCGGTCCCGCGGGCAGAGGAACGCCTTGCTGGAGTCGACCAGGTTCACCAGATGTGATGTACGTCACGTTCTCTGAAAAGGCGA